GGACAGGGAATGGCATGTGGACCTCCAGGTTTGCTTTCCCAGTTTTTCCCCTCTTGAGTGGTATTTATTTTCTGAGGGAACAGCCCATGCACTGGCACATGAGCAGTTAAGCACCTCAGGACTCGCAGCTCGTACATCTCGTTCTGCTGACACAGACAGAAGGCGAACACAGCTGAAGATTAGAGCCAGAAAAATGCTGCAAAAACTTTGTGAAAGTTCACTTCATCCTAACCCCACATTTGCCTGAACATATTTCCCATGAGTTCCTAACTGTGGCATCCTAAAGAGTGGATGAACACCCATTTTGTCACCTCATGACTTTGATTTCATTGACAAACCAGGGAAGATTGGTAGCTTTGAGACAGCACATTCTCCCTGGGCTTGGAGCAAGGGTTCTCCTCCTCCTGGTCTTGCACCACATTACCTGCTGCCTCTTCCTCAGAGCCCTCCTGTTCCCTCACCACAGGTGAAGGAGCAGCCATTCCCTTAGGAGCCACTGCACCTTTCTCTGGGGCTGGTTCCCAGCCAGGCACACTGCTTTGCTCTTTCCCTGCGGGAATGCATGGAAGGGCTGAGAGCTCTACGAAATCTGTCCAGTCCAGGGAGAGTTTGGATGCTTAGCTGTTGAGGAAACCCTGGCACGTTCCTCCCAGTGCCTCTGTGCTACCAGCCCTCTGCCACCTGCCTCCTCACTGGGGGTTCTCTGTGTTTGCTGGGAAGGGGAGGCTTGAAAGCACAGGATGGAACAGCCGTGCTTTCCTTGGGCTCGGCCCCACACACTTGGCATTGTCCCATTCTGGAGGGTGGTGGGAAGGCCAGGTAGAAATAGGAGGAGGAAAAATTTCCAAGCAACCTTTTGTAGAGAGACTTAGTTAAGTGTTTCATGGCCAGTGCAGAAATTGTTCCCTCCTTCCAGTTCAGCCCCACCAAAACCCAACCTAAGCAAGACTAGGAATTGGGGAAATGGGAATCAAAACCGCTCCGTTGCCTGCCAGGCAGAAGAAAATCTGGCTGCAGCTGCTGAAACCTCCATGCTTTGAGCTGCAGGGATACATCCCATCCTTTTGTGGAAACCATCTTATGCAGCTGAGATAGAAGAAACCACTGCCTAGTGGGCATGGGCAGCCCCAACCTCTGCCATGGCAGGAGTGGCTTTATCAGCAGGAATGGCAGGAGGGAAAGGCACTGCTAAGCCGGGCTCTGCTATGGAACAGAAAATGCATTGTTTGTAAATCAGACTTTGGAACAGCTTAAGACTTAAACACACCTTCAGTTAATTAACCTTTTAACAGAGCAGCACAGCCCCAGAGCTAATACAACAATATTCAGTCCCATGACTGCAGATTTTGCTAGAAAACAAACAAATTTTCCAGGACTAGGCTGGATAGTGCTGATGAGGAAGTTGGGTTGGGTTCAAATTCATCTCAAAATTCTAGTGGGGATTCAAAAATGGTTGTAACACCTAGAGAAAATTAACTTTAGCAAAATATTTGTACACAGTACGTGTCATAAAGCCCCAAATGGTCTGAGAGATGCTCTTTAATAAGCTCTATGAGTGCGTTTCCCAGTAGTGTGAACCTTGTGGGGTTTGTTTTTTATTGCTTTATTAAAATATGTTTCCAGGATGCTCAAACAACATTTTTGTCAGCCATTTTTTGTGCACAATTACACTTTCTTCCCTATGCTAATTTTATCCCTGTAAATGTGCCCTCTTGGACCAAGCAGTGCCTCCATCATGGTAACACAACTGTTTTCATGTCAGTGTTAATGAAGGACGGAATTTGATCCTTTGAGGTCAGTACTTGACCTCTCACCCTCCATCTCTGGGGCTGAGAAGACTCTGCGGTGGTTACTGAGTTTCACCAGGTGAACATTGTCTTCCAGTAAACAAGGAAATAGCACCAACATTCCTGCACCAAAGTGAAACAGAGGACTGGGAATATTTCTTTGGCCCAAGAGGAATGACAGCTGGAAAAGAGCCGCTGCAACAGGACCCCCTGACCCCACCTGACTCAGAGCTGCGCTCGTGCTCAAATACGGGCAAGAATCATTAACTTCTCCAAATGGAACAGGGCAGTGGTGTAAAGCCACACTGGAAGTGATGGGATGCCAGCATTTCTAGGAGTGGGATTCTCCCAGCAGGCTGTTCTTGCCAGCAGTTTCTATCTAGAATATATCCAGGGATGGTTTCCATATCGCTGTCCATATGTTCACTCATTGTAGCCATAGCAGAGACACAACTTCATATGCTTTATAGGGAACATGGTCCTGCAAGTGGATTAGCGTGTAGCCCTTCTTGTTAGGAAGAGTAGCTCATCCCTGACCTCCAGGAATTCCTTCCAACCAACATTTCCGTGATTCAGTGATCCTTGGTCTTTTCCAGTGGCAGGGCCTTGGCCTGACAGCTGCTGGGTTTGTAAGTTATTTCCCTGGCTTGGACTGACTCCGAGCTAGAGGAAATAAAGCTGGCAGGATCCCCTGGATCCCTGCACTGCAGCATGTCCCTGCCAGGGCCTCCAGAAAGGGTGCAGAGCAGGAGTTAATGGCCCAAAATCCCAGGAGAATCCTGGCTCCATCCCCTCCAGCCTCCTGGGTACCAGAACTGAAGCAGATCCAGGACAGTGACAGACACAGACCACAAAGCCAAAAACGCGGTCTGGAGAGGAACCACACGTGTCTGAAGTACAACTCCTTGATAATTTTCCTCCTGGCATGACACAACTCTACCTCTCCCTGTCCCAGCACAGACAAAACCTCCCTGTTATGAAGGGAGTTATTTAGCCAAAGTTGAAGTTATTTAGCCAAAACATGAAAAAAAATACAGAACTATCCCGTATCATTCCTCACACTTCATTTTGAGACCCAATTTTATTCTCTGATGCCCAAGAAGGAGATTCAGCCTGCTGGATTTTCATTCTTTATTTTAAAATGTTTTCACAAGTAGCAAAAGTTTGTTCCTTTTAGAAGAAAACCCACAGAATCATTGACTATTTTCGGAATGGCTATAAACACGGATGCTTTGCCACAGATTTGTATCAGAATAGAAAGTAATATAAATATATAAGTCTGTATATAAAAATAAATGATTTGGTATTAACAGATCCAACTAGGACAATTTCAGTGGGGGACAGAGACAAAGTAGGAAAAAAAGTAACATCACAATTTTATAAATCCCTTTCTTAAAGGCTTTCAAGAATTTTGACCTTCCACTGAGCATGAAAGAGCTCATTGCCACAATATCCACATTTTGTATCATTCATGTCACACTTGAAGTTATCATGACAAGGCTGATATGAAAGTGTCAGAAGTGCATAAACTCTGGGGTTTACATAGAATAGGACACATATTAAAAGCATATTTTATGTTTTAGGGCTGTTACCTCACCTTACTCCAAAATGATTATTTTAGCCAGTAAGACAAATTTTAACTGCTTGAAATAAAGCAACAGTCCCACAGCAATAAGACTTGTCCGGTGTCTGAGCCAGGCAGAAAAAAAGGGCCAGGGCACCACGAGTAGGGTGGTAACAAGATCCCAACATCTTTCACCATTAACTGGAATATGGCATTTACCTACTGGAATTCAGAAGGTTTAGAAATTCAGCTCCTATTTTTGCTTTTATCTTCCAGAGCCAACATTTTCCCTGTCAGGTGATCACCACATCATCTATTACAAACGTCATTATTTTTCCTGCTGTTATTTTTCACTCATTTGCAACACGCCAGGTCCCAAACCAGCCACCGGGACTCAGGCAGGAGACACCACACCGGGTTCAAGCTGCCAAAATTCTCGCTGCTTTCGGCACAGCCTCCCCAAAAGAGGGTGCAGGGGGCAGAGGAAGAGAACCCACTCCCGTTTTCTGCATCCCGGACAAGGAGTCAGTGCCCAGCTGGCCCATCCCGGCCGTCTCTCCCCGTCCCACCCCGCAGATCCCTCTCAGGGAGCCAGCACGGGCCATGGCCTCCCTCTAGCGTCCACAGCTCCTCTGCCTCAGCTCCTCCCCAAACCAGCCACCAGAGCCCTTCCAGCTCTCCAGGCAAGCGGGATCTGGTTTGGTCCTGCGAGTAATGACCCATAATTGATGTTTATAGGCACACCAGAGTATGAGAATTCACCGAGCCCCGGAGCGCCCGGGGATCAAGCAGCCTCCTGAAACTCTCCTACAATTAACATTTAACGATTATGCAGAAAGCCCGAGGCAAGCAGCTGTCTCCACTTCTGCAGGAGAGGCCCGAGGGCAACAGGACATGAAGACAAACTATTTAGAACCCCCTCATCAGCTTAACTTTCCTCCTCCAGTGCCCACAGACTTCTCACTTGTTCTAGCAAGACAGAAAGGTGCAAATGTCACCTTGGCACGACGGCAGCAGTTATTTTTGCAGGAAAAAACATCCAGCTCGTGGGTTTATCTAAAAATGGCTCCCGATGCCAACGTGATGTGCGTGAAGGAGCTTCCCCGTGCTCAGGTCAAGGGCTGCTGCTGTCAGCCAGGAGGAACCAGCAGCAGCATCCCTGGGTAAAGGATCACTCACTGACAGGGTGGGTGGGGGAGAAGCAGGGGCATGTTTCTGTCTGTGCCTCAGCCCCGGTAATGCTTTAAAACAAATCTAAAATTAAAAAAACCCTAAAAATTACATTCAGATGTAACCTTAAAAATGTAAACTAGTAAAACATTAAGCTGTAAAATCAACATGAGTCAGTGGCTGAAGTAATGAACAAAGGGGCAGAGTTCAAGCAACTGCAGATACATAAGCAAAATTCCTCTCTTCCCCAATTTAAAAAGTAAATATTTACTGTAAATCTGTTTAATATACTGTGGCTTTAAAACACTCCTTTGGGCAGAACTCCTGACCCCCACCCTGGAGCACTGATGAGATCTACTAGTCATGGTGCAGGATTCAAGGCCAAGTCTAACAAGAAGAACAGTCTCAACATTGCTCCAAGCCTTAGTCACAGAAATACAGTAATTATTGTGGCAGTTAATTAAAATAGGCTCTTTCTGTTAATGTAACATTTGCCTTTATATTTTAAACAGCCCAATTTTCAATTTAATAGGCTATTCAATATTTATCCCTGTGCCTTTGAGGCATCCCAAAAGCTGCTGGGTTTTGGAAGGCTTTTAAAGGTGAAAGAATTTAAGATCTGGACCCACTGAGGTGCAGAGCTTGGTTCCTGGTCAAGTCAATGAGCAGCTGCAGCCCCTGCTTTGTGTAGTAAGGACTGTCACTGAAAATATGTATTTTAAGACTGAAGGCTCTATTGTAAACATTTAATAATATCTAGGAATATTAAATGTTGGTATAAGATCACAGAATTAAATGTGACCTGAACAGAGACAGACACGACCAATATGGTACAATCCCACCAGCCCCACATGTTACTGTAGCTTTTAAAACAATAGGAAATGCTTGTTTGACAAAGCCTGCAGTTTGAGGCACTGAGGCCTTGCTCAAGCTGACAACAGAGCCTTCCTGTATCAGACACTCGGTCTTTAAATGTGTATTGCCAGTATTTTCAGTGAAAGTGCTGACTGCACAAATGCTGGATGCTGCTGCTCACTGACTTAACCCAGAACACCCACACAGTTGCTCTATTTCCCCTCAGAATTATGAATAAGTGCTAGAGAAAGTTCTTTGTTCCCAAGCACGGATTGCAAGTATCCAGGTTCTGAAGTGGTGGAAGACCCTGTGTGAACGACATCCCCCCCAGTCCAAAGGCACATCCAGGGCAGGTCACAAGAGCACCCAGCTCTTGGGACTTTGCGTTATGGCAACATGAGGGATTTTGCCAGTCTCGTCCAGAACCATTTTTTGGTGCAAGGGTTGGTGTAATCACAGATCGTGATGAACCGCAAGATACTTGGAAACTCGTTCTTCATGGATTTGTACTTGACTGGGATCAGCCGTTTGCTACGAGCACCTGGAAGACAGGTCACACAGGCAGAGGTTACACAGAGCCACAGCTGGACCCAAATCCATTTCCTCCCCACCGTGGCACACACATCACCAGATCCAGGTTTGTTCCTGATTATGCTCTCGTTATACTGCAACCAGCTCTCACCCTGCAGAGCAAGTTTCAAATCCTGATTTGCTCAGGTTGCAGATGTTCCCCAGCCAAGGGGCTGCGAGGAATCCCCCTGCTAACATGAGCTGCTGGTTTGGAGGCACCATGAGATGAGAACCTCTCCCTGCACCTGCTGCTGCTTAAAAGGAGCAGACCTTGTGCAGAGGAACTCCTCCCCTTGTAGTTCTCCACAGGGACTCCTGCCATCACCTGCACTGTGCTGCTCAGATGTCACTGAGACCTGGATAAGGCAAATAACCAAGATTTCTTAACTGCAGCAGATGCTGGAGTAACCCATGGAGCTCCCAGAACCTGCCACCAAACCCTTCTGTGCAGTAGTAACACCCCACACAAACAGGTGAATCTGTGAGTTCTCCAGGCCTGTATTTACACACATTTTCACTGGCAGAGTCATTCCATTCAGATGGAACTTCTCTTCTAATGGAAGGTGTGATGCCCACAAGAAACTGGGGAAGAACTAAAAGGACTTTGCTACAAATCTTAGCGACTGGGGGCTGATGCAACGTGCTGGGGCTGTTCAGTGGATTACTGCCATCATATGAAATTGTTGTGTCAAGGAAGATGCAGCTAATTCCCAGTTCTGCCACTGGCTTCCAGTCTAACCCCTGGCATGTCATTTATAATACCATGTCGGATGCCTTATCTAGAAAAGAGACTTGAGGTGCAGACACTCCTCCTGATATTAGATATCCTCCATACTATTAGGCTGGGCTGCACTTACTCCCCAGCAACATAAACAAGTGTAGAATAACTAGTGGTTAGAGAAGGGCAATCAGAACAAACCTGACAGAAGTAAATTGGTGGGTTTTCAATTCAGAACAAAATATATAAAAAATTTTCCAACCTAAATTGAACACTCGTTCCATATTTTATTTAACCTATCCACAACACTCAAAGATCTTTACAAAAATCATAGAATCATGGAATGGTTTGGGTTGGAAGAGAGCTTAAAGATCATCTAGTTCCACACCCCCTGCCATGGGCAGGGACACCTTCCACTAGACCAGGTTGCTCAGAGCCCCATCCAGTCTGGCCTTGAAATCTGCATGTCCATTACGTGACACCCTATTTCCAGCATTTACTCACACCCTAAATTTACTGTAACACTTTTCTCTTCAGTAGCGAATTTCCCTGTATGGATCTCAAAGCCCTTCACAGGCCTGACATGCAGCTCTGACATCTCCGGGGCAGGCAGCATTATCCCACTGACAGCTGGAGCACTGCAGCACAGGCAGCTCCTCGCTCACAGTCACGTGGAAGGTCAACAGCAGGGCAAGGGATTGAGCCCAGGTCCCTGCCTGCACAACCAAAGTATGAAGCCAGTCAGTTCCAATGGTACAGAGCCCACTGACCTCAGATGCTTCAGATGTCCCTGCACTGAAAATAATAACGTGCAATTGTAAATGGGAGCATTTGTGAGACCTTACCTGGGGAAAGACTAAGAGCAAATTTGGTCTGGAAATCACATTCATCGCTTTCCAGGTAATCATCTGAAATGACAACCACCATCCTCCGACACCTGGAGATGAAGAGTCAGGGGAAAAAAAGATAAAAATGTCAAAGGAGATGGTTCTCGTTCTCATGGATAGAAGCACGTACTGCTCTGAATTGCTCTGCTGGAGAAGGCCCTGGCAGCTGTGTTCCAGCAGGAATTAGAGCAGGAATTAGAGCAGGAACGACTGACAGACAGATAGCGACGTTACACACAAAAACCTGATTACAGGTAACAGTCATATACCAAAAAATGAGGAAACAGCAAAGTCCAGATTGTCTGTGCAACCTTCATGTGACCCTCTGTCTATATATAACAAATAAGACCAAGAAAAGTGATCAAACATAAGCAGCATCACTAGAGCAGCACCTCCCTCTACACAGTGTATCAACATGTTGGGGAATGCTCGAGTCTTGAGCCAAGAGCATAAAACAAACCCCACAAAGACATTCTTGTGGATTTTTGCTGTTTCACTGGCACCACACCGCAGACATCAGGGTAAACTGACTGTGATGTTCCATTACACCCAGCTGGCCCCAACAGCCACGGCTCACTTACCTCCTCTCTATAAGTTCTCCACTGATGGACCACACACAGCTTCCTGGCAAGACATCCCGATCAAATACACAGAGCTTCAGTTTGAACTCTGTTTGCTCCAGCTCCCTGATCATCTCCTGGACAAACTGCAGGTCTTTCTGACAGTAGCAGATGAAGGCATCAAATATCTCTGTTCCGCTCCCTGAAACCATTAAAAATGTAGCTGTCATCTCCTGCTAGAAATGGAGTTCACTCCTCTAGTGAGCTTTCACAAGCTCCCACAGACTTTGACTCAGAATCAGCAGCTCTGACAGACAAGCTCTGGCCAAACTTGTGAAGGTAATTTAACATTTTATTACACCAGCTGCCCTTCAGCCCAGACTCCTGTCCCTAACAGGGCTGGCAGGAGGTAAAACACGTCTGTGCCCCGACTGCTTCCACCAGCCAGGCTGTTCACATACACCCACACTGGCTGGCAGCGCTCAGGGAAGGGCAGCTGAGATGCAGACAGGCAAAATCTGTGGAGGTAATAACATCCAGCCACAGGGAGACAAATGGGAGGGAGTCTGTGAAAAGCTGGAGGGAGCAGAGTACCCCAGAGGATGCAACTCAGAGCCCCAGCGCTCTGGGATTTCACTGGGGGTCAGACATCTAAAATATCCTCGTGGCTCCAGGTCCTCGTTCTCTAGTTCAGCTCACAGAGATTCAAACTTTCCAACCAAAACCTTCCTGCAGGCCCTTCATCCAGCAATGTCCTGCCATACACTGTCCATGGAGCTACAGGGTCAACCTTGAAATCTGGAACCTGCCACTTTTATGGCTAAGATGTAAGACCTGGGTACCTGAAGTCGTATCCTAAGTAAATTGGCCTGTTTTCCAATTACACTAATGGCTGGCAGCTCTTGTTTATTTAGCAGTTATCTAAATATTAAACTGCTGCATTCTAAGGGCAATGTCTCTCATAATTAAGCACCTTAATACTGCTGGATATCTTCCCGCCGTGTTACTTTTTTTCCCATATCAATGTCACTACAGATATTTTCAATTTTTTATCCCAGTTAAAGCCTACCACAGTGAAAAATAGGTCAGAGACTCTAAAAGCTGCTGAGGAAAGTATCAACCCGGCAGGCAGATCCAGCCCAAGATGCATCCAGTGAAGCAGAAGGGGAATGTCTGCCAGGTCAGTCAAACTGAGGGTGCTGCTGGAGGGGCACGGCGCTAACCTGGGGGTCACATCAGCCAAAGCTGCCATGTACAAACACCAGCACATTGGTCTGTGGACATTTGGGGAGGGTTAATGATGTCCCCACCCCGAAGGGGGCCAGGCTGGCCAGCACACACACGTGTGCACACACATGGCTGCACACGCAGGGCTGCACGTGGTGGCACATGCACGTGGCTGCCCAGGCAGAGCTGCACACACAGACCAGCAACACACACACACACAGAGACACACACACAGAACTGGATTTCCTCTCTCTGCCCACTTCACACCCAGCCCTACTTTAAACCCGCTTCCTTTTCAGTCAAGGTGGTTCCACCTGCCAAAGGCAGAGGAGAGAAATCAGCTCTGACGTTCCTCCCCCCGGACTCCAACCCCCTGAGCTTTCAGCAGCTGCTCTGCGCCAGGCTGGGCTAAGGGACATGTTCCTGGGAAGTCTCCTCTCTATACATGTCCAGTGGCTCTGTGCCAGCCTGTTCCTGGGTATGGCATTCCCCACGGTTGCTTTTCCTCTCTGCTCTAGGAAAAAGGAAAAATGAAAATGCCCCGCGACTACCAGGCAAAGGATTCCGGTCTGGGTTATTAAAAATCATGGGTGGAATGAAAGCAAACAGGTTTTCTGCACTTCTCAAGGGGATCTGCAACAGCTGAAGGCCATCCCCACACGAGGCATGAGGCCTTCCAGCAATGGAACCATGGGCACTTACCGTACGGATCGTCCCTGATGGTGATGCCCATCAGTTCCGAGGTCTTTGGCACGCTGCTGTCTACTGCTGGCACTTGAAGAGGCTGGTTGGCCTGCTCCTGCTTCCTCTGCAAGTACTTCCTACAGTCCTCCTCTGCAAAAACACATAACCAAGGCAAGAGGCTCCTGTGATGTGGGTTTACACTGCTGGTGTTCATTAAAAAAGGAATAGCCATTTCATGGATCAGGGATATTAGAGGGAAATCCCCTCTCCGTTTTTTTGGTACGTAGAATTCCTCTTATCCCTTTCTGAACTTCTTGATGATGCCTCCACTACCTCCTCTAGCAATTAATTCCTGAAGGTCACTCTTGCTGTCTAAAGAAATGCTTCCTTTTACTTGTTTTAAACCAATCTCCTCCTATTACCCTTGGTTCTAGTGTACCCCAGTACACCTTTAACAGCAGGCATCAGGCACAGAGCAGCTCCCAAATCTGCTGCCTGCTCTCATTGTTGTGCATTTTGGAGAATGTAAAAATCACAAAATAGCTGGGGAGGATTCTCAATTAAAAGTCTTCACAGTGTAAATGTCTTCTCTCAAATAACAGACAAGAGGAAATGGCCTCAATTTGTGCCAGGGGAGGTTTAGGTTGGATATTAGGGAAAAATTCTTCACTGAAAGGGTGGTCAGGCATTGGAACAGGCTGCCCAGGGAAGTGGTGGAATCGCCATCCCTGGAGGTATTTAAAAGACGTGTAGATGTGGCACTTGGGGACATGGTTTAGAGGTGGCCTTGGCAGTGCTGGGTTAATGGTTGGACTCAATCATCTTGGAGGTCTTTTCCAACCTCTTTAGCAACTCTCTGCAGACACAGGAGCTGATTCACACCCTTGGCCTTTGTCAGCCACGACAACTGCAGGTGACAAGGAGTATCTACACTCACCACACACAGGAGGACACTAAAATTTTAAGGAGCCCCTGAAACAGCTTTTATGTTGTGCAACACCTACAGGGGATCCTCTTATCCAAGGCACATTGGGTGTGTACCCCACTCTGGGGTAACTGAAGGGCAAAGTCCTGTCACAGTCCCTGCTGTGAACTTCCCAATCAGGACAGTGACGGACACAGATCTACTATGAACAGACTTGGTTTAAAAATAAATGATAAATCTAAATGTTAAATCTTTGGAGAAGCAAAAAGAAACCCTGCAGCCTCTTCTATTCTGCAATTACAGAAGAACTGAAAGTAAAAGGAGATTTGAAACCAGGAATTAAGAAAAAGATAAAACTCTCTAGAGCCTTTGCCTTTGCTTAAGATTAAAACAAAAACCTCAATAAGTATTAATCAGGAAACTTCTGATCACTCAGAGGGTTTGGCTGGCACAGCTGCAGAGCTCATGGTGCAACAGCAGAGTAGAGGATCCCTGATCAGCATGAGCAGGTCTGCAGGAGGCCCATCCTGAGGCTCCATCCCCTGCTTCTGTCTCAGCTTTGCATCTCGTGACTGGATTATCTCCAATCTAATAAGGCTCAGATCTGATCAAGGCTTTTCCTGAGGCTGAGGCATTCCCAATCTGCCTTTCTCCTCCCCCCTGCCTCCCCAGTCCTGCAGGGGGAAGAACCAGCCACATTCCTTACCAGCCAGAAGGTTCAGATTTCAGGTCTTCCCTCACTAAACTCAAATTCAGGCCCCACCTGAGGCCTGTCAGGTAACTCAGTGTCTTTGAAATCATGATTGAAGCCACTCTGAATTTGCCAATGGGTTCAGCAATCATAGGTTTATTTTAAGTGCAAACTGGGGGCCCTATGGCACTGCAGCTACCAAGAGGTCCCATGAGGCTGTAGGGACCAAAGGCATTCACTGATTTGGGATGGATCAGTTCCCCAGCTGGAAACAGCACCTGATTGTACAGATTAATGAGAGTAAACAAAGATCAGGGATGACTTTGGGACTGTAAAGATAAGGGATGCTACACAACAAAACCAAGTAGCAAGAAACTCCTCCAAGATAAACTGTCCCACTCCACCCAGCACCTAACCAGGCTTTATGTTCCTTAAACAGTCAAAGAAAAGCCTGAAGTATTGGAACAAAAGAATAAAAACATGAAACCTAAAGAGCAAAATGAGTAGCATGATGAGAAGACAGAGAAAACAGACCAAGTAACTGTCAGTCAGGAAAGCAGCATTTTTATAACAGGTCAAGGCAGAAACAAAAATCATTGAGCTTCAGCAGGAAAGAGCACAAACCTATTGAAGCAAAGAGCTTTAGGCACCTAAAGATGATTGTACAGCAAAATAAGCTGCTGAGGAAGATCACAGTTAGGGCAGAGCTGCTGGGACATCAACACTGATGTCTTCTGATCCTGAGCTGGACCCCACTGCAGGAGTCCCAGCTGTGCACACAAAGATGCCCCTGGCATCAGGAAATACCATGCACAAGAGCGCACGAAACTGTCCATTTCCTTTCCTTTTATGAGTAAATACCTTCAACTTCTGCAAGAGCTCTGAGCACCAGCACAAGATCACAGGCCCTCACTGCAGCCCTCACCCAAAAACAACAGCAGAGAGGAACGGCCAATTGTTCAGACTGAGGGTCCATCTGCCTCAAGCACCATCCTGTCTCAAGCACTGCACAAAACCAGATGTCTAGGGGGGACCATAAGAATAAAATAAGCTTACAGAGATATTTCCCTAAAATAATTTATCTTTTAGGTATAATCTACAATCTATTTTTTATAATCTAATTTTTGGACGATTTAGAGGTAAGTTAGTGGGTCTTTTTCCCAATAATTTATCTGTCTCCTCTTATCAGTGTGACCTAACTCTGGGCAAAACTTGTGACTTTCCTGCACCCCAGGTTCCTCCCACTCCTTCTGCTGGAGTCTATTCCGGCTCTGACAAAGCCCATCCACCACAATTCCTTCCATGGGCCAAATCATGAGCTCAGGGCCAGAGCCACCCTTAGTGATCCCAACATTTTTGTGAAGCCCCAGCTCTCTTGCACACCTGGAAGCCTCCCCTAATTTGTTAGGAAACTCTGATCAGCGGATCACAAAGCACTGATGCTTTTGTTTTTCCCAAAACCTGGTCTTTAGACTATGTTCTTAAGTAGGAAGAACCACAGGAGCAAAGGGAAGTCCTCCACCACTTCTTGATCAGGCTCTCTACAGTGATGGATTTCTACATCTTCCTTTATCTCTGTGAGTAACAGGAAGCGAGATTTATTACTTCCTTATCGTTAACCCAGTAAATGCTATTGTACAACACAGGAGTCTCTGGCTTTGGAAGTCCTTTGGCAAAAAAATTCCCCTTCTGATAACAGATGGCTTCCCTCCAAATTTCTCTGATCGCAAAGAGTATGAAGAGCCTATAAGGAAAAGCTTACCAAAACAGCACAAGGGCCTTATACTTCTCACTGACCCACCCCAATTTTTTCAGTTTGCATGGAAACTTTTTTCCCCCCGACATTATCCAGTTCCACACATCCCTCACCTCCCCCAGCAAATATCTTCCTATCACACTATATCCAGGCATTATAATTTTCACACTGTCTGGTGTCAGTGCAAGCTGTCTCCTGGCTGACCTGGCCCAAAGCATCCTTTGACACACAGAAACTTTATTACTGAAGGTTTGGGATAAGATGGGGCTTCAGGTCACTTTGCACTTATCTCCTGGAAGCTACACGAGGCTCCTGTGAATCCCAGAATGGTTTGGGTTGGAAGGGGCCTCAAAGATCATCTCATTCCAAGCCCTCTGCTGTGGGCAGGGACACCTTCCACAATCCCAGGTTGCTCAGAGCCTCATCCAGTGTGGCCTTGAACACTTCCAGGGATGGGGCATCACAGCTTCTCTGGGCAACGTGTGCCAGGGCCTCACCACCCTCACAGGGAAGAATTTCTTCCTAATATCTAATCTAATATCTTAATATCTTAATATCTAATCTAAATCTCTCCTGTTTTAGTTTAAAACCATTCCCCCTTATCCTGTCACTATCCATCCATGCAAGAAGTCCCTCTCTCCTTCTCCTCTTTTTTATAAGCCCTCTTTACGTACTGGAAGGGGCTCTAAGGTCTCCCTGCAGGCTGAATATCCCCAGCTCTCCCACCCCGTCTCCATAGCCGAGGTGGTCCAACCCTCAGAGCATCCCCGCGGCCCTCGTGAAAACACCGAGGATGTCACTCCACAGCCTGGAAAGGGCTTTTCTTTAAAAACTGCGTGAATTGAGTGAAATTTGTTTCTTAACATCACCTCCCCGGTCAGAGCAGCAAAGACGGGCAGGAGCAGCAAAGACGGGCAGGAGCAGCATCCCCTCCCTACGAGGCATCACGGAAGCAGTACCGGTCCCACTGCCGGACCAGCGCCGGGATCCCCGGGGCCGTCCCGGTCTGCCCCGCTCTCCCCGTCCCCTCCCCGGCGCTCTCCCGTCCCGGGCTCCTCACCCACGCTGCCGGACAGGTCCATCAGCACATCATCGCGACCCAAGCGCCGCAGCACGTCCAGGAGCTGCCCCACGGTGGCACCGCCGGGGCAGCGCCCCGGCCACTCCTCCAGCAGCGCGGCCGTGGGGTCGGGCAGCCCCTCCAGCCGCCGGATCTCCAGGAAGCCGCATCCCAGCGCCTCCGCCAGCGCCGTCCAGTCGGCGGCCGCGGCCGCCCGCGGGTTGAGGTAGAGCCCGAGGCGGCGGCGGACGCCGTAGTTGAGCGCTACCAGGGGCACGGCGTGCAGGTCCAGCGGGACGGGGATGGAGATCGGGCTGGAGCCGGGGCCGGGCTCCGCCGGGGCCTTGGCCATGGCCGTGCCGCTCCCCGAACTTCCCCTTCCCGGCACTTTCGCTTCCCGGCTCGCCCCGCCTCCCTCCTCCCGCCCCCGCCGGGCTCTGCCCGCCCGCCCGCGGGGTGCGCGGCCGGGACGGGGCTTGGGCAGCAGCAGTGGGGGCAGCGGGACTGCTGTGCCCTGTGCTCGGCACTGGCGAGGCCACACTCCCAGCCCTGTGTCCGGTTCAATTCGGGAAGGACACTGAGGTGCTGGAGCAGGTCCAGAGAAGGGCATCGAAGCTGGGGAAGGGTCTGGAGCGGGCTGGGGGAAGAGTGGCTGGGAAGCTGCCCAGTGGGAAAAGACCTGGAAGTGCTGGTTGACAGTAACTGAACATGAGCCAGGTGCGCCCAGGTGGGCAAGACAGGCAGTGACATCCACTGGCTTGTATCAGGAATAGTGTGGCCAGCAGGACCAGGGAAGTGATTCTGTCCCTGTACTCAGCATGGCTGAGGCACCTCCAGTCCTGTGTGCACTTCTGGGCCCCTCACAAGAAGAAAGCCATTGAGGTGCTGGAGCAGGTCCAGAGAAGAGCAAGGAGCTGGTAGAGGGTCTTGAGCACAAATCCTACGAGGACAGGCTGAGGGAGCTTCTCCAGCTGTTTAGCCTGGAGAAGAAGAGGCTCAGGGGAGACCTTCTCGCTCTCTACAACTCCCTGACAGGAGGTTGTAGCCTGGTGGGGGTCGGTCTCTTCTCCCAGGCAAATAGTGACAGGACAAGAAGCCCAATGGATCCCTAGTGGTAATAAATCCAGAGCCACGTCCCATCTTTGGGGGTCAAAGTTGGGGGGACCTGGGCTGCCCTCAGGTGAGAGTGCTCCACGACAGTACAAATACTGCCATCTCCAAATTTTCAGACTCTTCCAGCAAGTAAAACATTCTGCATAAAAATAAAATTATACAAAAATGGCCAGGGAACCATTTTAAACTGTTTTGACACTGAGTACAAAACACAATCCTTGACTGTGAACTGAACAATTTCCAGCTTCCAGACTGGCACCAAAAGCAACAGAGTGCTGTGAAGACTTCAGAGAAGTTTTCAAGAGGAACATACTGATTCTCCAAAGTATTGTAGGAGACACAGTAAAAGAACATCCTCTGTCTGTGGATCTCTGTGGAAATGAGGAAAATAAAATATTCCGCCAGCAAAACTTTTAATTGCACAACAATTTGTTGTTTTAAAGCTTAAAAACATGAAAAATTAGCATAAGAAAGTTCAGTTCTGACTGAAAACCTGCCACACAAACCATCATCTCCAGTTTGTAAGAAGAGGTGCTGACAGACAACCTCCAAATACCCACATCCAGCGGGTGTCCCAGGGGACACTGGACAGGAGATTGAGTTATTTTACCGTGGCCAGACCCATATCATAGGTTGTTCAAGGACATTAACCATTATCCAGGCATCCTGAGCAGCGAAACCTCCAGCTGAGTGCTCCTCCAGCCTTCAGCAAACATCTTTCTTGCGAGAGAAGTAAAAATCTATCCCTCTGTCCTTGTGCTGTGCTGGCATCTGTGCTGGTCCCCTCCTGCCCCTGGGATGGGGACTCCCTCCCTGTGGCAAATGAAACATGAACAGGGAGAGATTTACTGATGTTTCAGAGTGAATCTGGTCCCAAAGCAGTGCTAAAATGCAAGAAAATGTGGACAGGGCACTTCTGCTCCCCAGGTCCACTACAAAGGCAGGAAGGCCCAACAGGCACAGCTCTAGGCTTGGATTTAGGAAACCAGGGTTTCTGGTAAGGTGAGCTGGAAAAGTTGATCAAAATGGAACTCTTGCCTGGCAGAGGAGCTTTTTGGCTTCAAGTTTCGTCACTGCCTCAAACCAGTGTCTCACCAAGGAGCTACTTCACAGAGTCCCTTCTCTGATCCCAGAAGGTCAGTAATCCAGGCCCTCCAACAGCATGGCCGAAGCAGAAGGCTTTGCTTCCACTAAACTTTCCACTCTTGGCAAAGGAATCTGGCCTGAAAAATTTGGTACTGCACCTTGGGATTAAAACCTGAAATGGAGACATGCTTCATTCTTCACTGAACATAGTATGACATCTAAATTTGAGCCTCCACAAAGTATCCTCACCTGGGAGGAGGCAGGGACGATGCAGAGGGGGAAGGCAAAATGCTGAAAACTCGTTGTAATACACAAGAATTGGTTACATCCATTTCCTTCCACACCCAACTCCTCCAAGAGCAGCAGCCCAGGCAGCAGATACAAGCCTTGACATGCTGCAGGATCAGTATCTCAGTCTGTCCCTGTTCTAAAGGGGAGATACACCCAAAAAGCAAAGTGCAAGGGCCAGTCCCCATAGTTACAGGTCTTCTGACTCCAGTTTGGGTTCACTCAAGCATGGCAGGAAGTTGGTTGTTTTTCCACCTCCTGAACACAGAGGACAGTGAGTTGGCTCCTTTCTGTCCACCTACATCAGGGGGTGGTCAAGCTATGGAGGCCTTGGAGATTCCCCATCCCTCCCTGCTGGCCAGTGGGGATGCCAGGAAGGATGCTCTGAAGGACATGCTCTGGCTAAGCCCTGCTGACTATACAAGGCTGATGGGATGGAGAAGCAGCTAAAATTTACATCATTCTCCACAGCAGGTAGGACAGACAGAGCTAAATAACCCTGGCTGCAGAGTCCCTGTGCAGAGCTGCACCATTGCTGTGAGGTAACGTGACTTTGCATTAAAGCCATTTTTCCCTTTTCACCCAAGACAGAAGAGCAGAACTCCCAGACATTCCTACAGACACAGACCAGCCCCCCTGGAGCCCTCCCACCCCATCCCAACCTTCCCAGTACTCACAGGCCTCTGCCTGATGTGTCGGCTCCACTCTGGGGCTGTCACAACTGGCTGTGGGTAGGTCTCACCTAGAGTTACTCCTGCTTGGGAGAGAGCAGCACTACTCAGTGCCCAAGGGCTGTGGATATCTGCTCCCTTTATGCCCTGTAGCTCTGGGACCCACAGCCGGACGTAATCCCCCTGCAAACAGAACCAATGGGACAGGATCCATTCAGTAACAACCTCCAAGTGCTTCCCGGCAAGGATGTTTCTCAACAGGAAAGAGAGAAGCTGGATTTCCAGGTAGAGAAGCTGGTATAGTACAGCATCAGTTACTTCTGACAACCCTTAGCCCCTCCTGCATTAGTGCCTAAAGAGAGACTTGGATGCTGGAGTTCTCCCAGGATCACTCTGCAGGCAGAGGAGGGAGACAGAGGTGCATTTTTGGTACTGTTCACCTGTCCTGTTTAGGACATCCTGTGATGAAGTCACTCCCAAGAAGTTTCCAGTGACTGAAGGAAATGAGGATGACTAGCTCAGCTGCACACTCTTGTCTTCCTGAATCTCTCCTATTAACTCTACTTCTGTGTCCCTTCATAGGACTAATTTCTGATTTCTTGTCAAATCCTGCCAGCTACAGCGCTGACAGGCAATAGTACAGCCTGCCAAGAAGCTAAGGAATAGTGTGGGAGCAGGTAATCCAGTATGTGAGCAGTTTATCTGCTCCCACCACTTAAAGAGTCAGAGGAGTCACAGGTTTAATCTACTCTCCAGCACCTCCCAAAGAGCAGCTCTGTCTCTCTGGTCCCCCTGAGTTCTCCAAGAAGCTGCTCTGTGCTCAGGGAAACGTCTGTGTGAGGCACTGATGGGATATGGCTGTGACCCAGAAGAAATGGTGATGAAACACTGAACACACAGACCAGGGGAGGGAGGGTGTGTGAAGCACCAGCCTCCCTGGGGACAGCAGCAGATTGTCAGCGTCACATCTTCCTGTGTGCAACAAGGAACCTGCCTGGCTGTTGGCAAGGAGACACAGAACTGCTTTTGCAGCAGTAGCCACACAGCAGATTGATCTCCTCTGCTCCCCGAAAATACCACCTGTCCTTCACTGTGAAACAGCCAAACAAGACTTACATTCCCATCGTAATCCAGGCCTTGTTTAATCACGTTAAACTTCCTGTTGTCCCGTGGGTCGTTGCCAATGCCAGCGTTGTATAACCAGTTGCCATAATTGCTACAAACATCGTAATCCACCTTGAGAACAGAGGGAGAAAACAGTGAGAAGAGCTGGGCTGGCCCTAAGTGAGTCTTCTCTCCCCGTCCACCCCTTAGCTCAAGGGAAAAATTCCTTAAATGGCAATCACTCTGGGGTGGTCAGAGCCCTCCCAAGTTGTAGGTACAGACATCTGGCTGCTTTTTACACCTGGGATCAGCTTCCCAGGTCACTTCACTTCATGGTCCTTAAGTCAGTGAGATCTATAAAAGTCTGACCAAAATCTCTTTCTCAATTTCCCTTTTTCAAAGAAAATCCTTCTCTTTCTGCCATTGTCTGGCAGACTTCACAACAACAAGCCCTAGATTTTGTGTGCTTGTATTCTAAAACAGCAGCAGCCCAGAACATTTCAAATATGAGAGAAAATCCTTCCTGACCAGTTACCCAGACACCACAGACTGATAGAATCATGACAGTGTGTATAAAGATGCAAACAATGCAAACACTGCAGTTTTCTCCCAGTTTTCTCTCATGAAGTTATTTCTCATCTAAGCAAATAAAAAGCTCTCAAGGATGCTCCTGTAAAATGAAACAAGGCTTCTGGAACTGGCACAAATGAGAGCAGAACACAGGCCCAGTCCAAGGGCTCTTCAGCTGGGGAGCATGGCTTAAATCCAACACCAAGAGCTTTCCAGTTGTAGGACAATTCCAACCCAGCTCAGGAGGGGAGTGGAAGTGATAGCAAAGAGGGTGTGGGGTCTCTGAGCATTCCTAGGAGGGGCGTCTGTGGTGCAAAAGCAGCAGCTATGGCAAAAAGAGCTGGCTCAGTGCTGTTCTCCCTTTACTGCAGTCACAGCAACAACCAGTCCACACAGGGATTTTTCCAGAAATCCCAGCCATTCCTTAAAGTGAGGAGCTCAATGCACCTGGATGGCAGAAGGCACAGGAAATGGGCTCTGCCAAATTCCCCTTTCTCTGCAGAGACCCTGAACGCCGGGGTCAGGGTGATCAGCAGCCA